CCTCCTCCTCCTCCCTCCCTTCCCCTCCCCTCAGGCCTGCTATGCCGTTCCCGCCACCGCAGGAGTCGTCTCCCGCCCGCGGTTAGGCCCGAGCCTCGCCTCGAGTAGCCGTGGTGGTAGTGGTGTGTGCGTTTGTGTGTGTGGTTTTCTCCTCAGCGACGCATCGAGGCAGGCCCGGCCTCGCGCGCGCGGCCGACACTCCATCTCGAGCGAGCCGGCCAGCGGGCGCGCGCCCGCGCTGCCTCCTCCTCCTCCTGCCCGCCCGCCCGCCCGCTCACTCCTTCGCGGCCGTCGTCGTCGTCGTCGCCGCCGCCGCCCCCCGTCTTCCTCTTCGGCCGCCCCCGCTTGCCTCGTCTTCCTGCCTGCCTGCCTCGCCTAGCTAGCTGGCTGGCGGCGGCTCCACGGCGCAGGCCCGCTGCAGCGCAGCCGCTCTGAGGTGAGTGTCCTACCGCGCAATCTCCCAGCAGCTCCTCACTCGCCGCGCGCCAGACCCGGCGCAGCCGCAGCAAGGCGGGGGCCCCCGCGCCGCCTCGCCCGCCCGCCCCCGCTCGCCCGCCGCGCGCGCAACCCCCCCCTCAACCCCCCCCACCCCGCCCTCCCGCCTGGGCCGCCCGCCCGGCCAGGCCAGGCCAAGACCAGACCAGGCCGCGCTAGGCCTCAGGCCCGCACTCCATCGCCCATCATCCGAGGCCCGCGGCCCGGCCTAAACGCGGGGGAGCCTCGCTCGAGTTACCCGAGCCGGGAGACGCCCGGAAGCGGCTCTTCGGTCCCGGGAGACGCCGAGCCGAAACACCCCCTGTCCCCACATGACTTGCAAAAGAAAAGAAAAGAAAAGAAGAATAATGCGTTTTAATCCCCCTCTTTTTTTGCCCCCCCCCCTCCAATTTCTCCCCAATGGCGCCGGCTTCCGGGAGCCACAGGTCTCCTCGTCCCATGCCTGGAAATGGGAGGGAGGGGCTTCCTCTGACCAGGAGAGCCTTGGCTGCCGAAAGCTGGCACCGTTGGGGGGAATGCAGGCATTCAGCTGCCTGAAGGCAAAGTTGAGGCTTTTCAATGGGAATTGGTGTGTGTATTGGGGGGGGGTATGGTCAGAAAAGGGGGTTCCCAGGCGCCCCCCCTTTCCTGCAGAAAATATTCTCACCAAAGGAATCTTAAGTAAGATTCGGGGTGTACCAAGGAGGGGCGGGGGTCTTTTTTGACCCCATTTTCTCCATGGAAAGAAAAAAGGAGATTAAAATTCCATGGAAAGGGTGGTCCCACGTTTATTTTGATGATTATTTGTCTCTTGGAAGAGACCCTGGAAAAGATCAAAAATTCAGGGGTCCACTTGGACGGTCTTTTTTCACCTCTTGTCTGGCTGAAGATTGCTGTTGGGGGGATTCTGTATTATTTTGGGGAGGATATGCAGGAGTGTATCATTCTTTTAAAAAGCAAGAGATGGGTTGATTTTATTTTATTTTTTAAACCCATTTCATTCCTGGGACTCAAATTTATTCTCCAGCTTTCCTTGACATTTCATAAGCTGCGAAGAGGAGTTGGAAGACACTGTTCGTGGGAAGGGAACAGCGGGAGGGCGGATTTAGTATACAATTTATCCCATATCGAGGTGTTATCTCCGTTTATTTCTTCATCCCGGAGAGATTCCAAATAGCTGTTCTACTCTCTTTTGCTAGCTGGTTACAAAATTAACCAGGCTGGCACCATGGTTGGCTTCTGTCCTTTTAGGCACCCGGTTGAGGGGTGTGTATGTGTGTGTGGCAAGGGTGGTTATCAGACGCTCTTCCCAAATGGTGAGTTCCTTGGGTTGTTTGCTTGCAGACGTTTCGTTACCCAGCTAGGGAACATCATCAGTGTGAGCAGGAGCTTGTTATATGAAATATATCCACTCCTTTTTACAGCTGATGATGTTACTTAGTTGGGTCATGAAATGTCTGCATGAAAATAATCCAGCAGAGGGAACACCAAGGACCCACAATTGTCATTCTCATCTCCTCCTCCTCCTCCTCCTCCTCAAATCCCACTCCTAACACTGATGATGTTCCCTAGTTGAGTCATGAAATGTCTGCAAAAAAAAACCCAAGTTCAGAAAGCAACTAGGATGCCAGAGTTGCCATCCTTCTTCTCCTCCTCCTCCTCCTCCTCAAATCCCACTCCTAACACTGATGATGTTCCCTAGTTGGGTCATGAAATGTCTGCAAAAAGCCACCAAGCTCAGAGACCGCCAAGGACCTCACACTTCTATCCTGAGCAGGGGGGGTTGGACTAGAAGACCTCAAAGGTCCCTTCCAACTCTTGTCATTCTATTCTAAAGTGTGCAGATCATCCTCAGAGATCGGTCTGCCTCCGGAAGATGGGTCCCAGAGGATCCCAGCCCGTAAAATTTGGTAGAAAAGGTTTCCTTTTTTTTTTGCCACGGAAACTCAGGAGCTCTCGAGTTCAATTAAAACCCCAAATTCCTTGTGACTCTCCCATACGGGAGACTAGAGACCCAGTAGGGTGAGCCCGCTTTATCATAATCCAGCCAGCCAGCCTTCGGACCGTGCCGCGGCCGACACCCTTGAATATTTGAGAAGAGGTATCAGTGAGGGATTTCTTATTTTTGGGAACCGCTCCAGTGGATCTGAGAAGTGGGAGCGGGAAAAAGCCCATTTCGCGTAATAGGCTTAGAAAAACGAGGCTGCAGCTGTTCTCCAAATGCGATGAGTGCAGCGGGACTCTTACGTTGCTGGTTTTTCTGGGATTATATTGGGACAGGAGACACTTGGGTAGGCACCATATATGTAAGGCTTTGATTTTTAAAAATGTCCATTTTGTCTGGCAGGGCAGTATAAACACCGGCCATCTGCTCACTCAGAGCGACCAGCGAACCTTTATTTAGGCAAATATAGAATCACCCTCTTTTTGACGGCCCCGTAATCCCTTCCATCAGGGTGGAGTCTGGGCAGCTGACTGGAGCTGAGGGTTTGAGTGGCTGGATGCCTTTCCTGTCTCCAATGTGGAGTTTTGTTCAGCAGATATATTCTCACTGTGCCCAGAGAGAAATATCTGCCTCTAGCTAGGATCAAACTCACAACCTCCCGAATAAGAGGCAAGAGCTCCACTTCTAAGCCACTGCACCCCTCAAGGACTATGACTAGTAAATCATCTCCTTTTAATGACCCCATAATCCCTTGCGGGGTGAAGTCTGGGCAACTGAATGGAACTAGCCGTGTTTTTACTGGCCGGATGCTTTTCCTGTCACCAATACGGAGTCTTGTTCAGCAGGTGTATTCTCATCTGTGCCCAGAGAGAAATATCTGCCTCTAGCTAGGATCGAACCCACAGCCTCCTGATTGTGAGGCGGGATCGCCCCCTCTGGGCCACCGCACCCACTCGAAATATAGAAAGAAGAATCTCTGCTCGATTTGAATTCCTGCGCATGCAATTCAGAGGCTAAAGTTCTAAGACGCAAACTTAGAATCCGCTTGCTTTTGTTCGATTTCTCAGGCTCGTCCATGGCCTCGGTTGTAAACCTGTATTCTTCAATACAGGTAGTCCTCGACTTAACAACATCTCACTTAGTGACTGAAGTTAACAACGGCCCTGGAAAAAGGGACTCGTGACCCTTTTTTCACACCGAGGACCATTGCAGCTTCCCCGTGGCCACGTGATTGAAATTCAGATGCTTGGCAACTGGCATGTACTTAGGACTGTTGCAGTGTCCCAGGGGCACGTGATCCCCTTCTGCCACCTTCTGTTGAGCAAAGTCAACGGGGGGAAGCCCGATTCACTTAACGACTGTGCGGCTAACTTGCCGAGTGCCTGAATGTTGACCGCGGGGAGGGCTGCGACGGTCTTCCGTGTGAAAAGCAGACAATAACTCGCTTGTTTTTCAGGGCCGTTGTGACTTCAAACGGTCATTAAACGAGTGGTCACAAGTCGGGAAACTGGCCATATTCCCGTACTGTTGAATTCTCTCTTGCTAAACCGAGTTTGGGATTGTGAAGAGAAGGGTCTAAACCAGCGGTTGCCAACTAGTCGGCCGGAGGACCGCTGGTGGTCCACGAGAAAATTTTGGTGGTCCGCAGAGAAATGTACCCCCCAAAGCAATTAAGCCAGGCTGCGCGGGAACACAAGGCTGCCCCAACCTTATGGCCTGCGGGAACACAAGGCTTGCGTCGCATTGCAAACAACACGTAGTGAGTGGAGCTGGGAAGGGGGCAACTTGCCGCACTCGTCCCATGTGCCTGGCTTGGCCACCAGGCTGCCTTTTTCCGTTTCTTCCTTCTTCTGCTTCTGGCTGCACGCAAGGAAAGCAGCCAAAGTCTTTCTTTCTCTCCCCCAAACTCCGCCAGAAATGAGTCTTTGGGGCCCTGCAAGGCCTCCTGCTCCAACAGGCTGCAAAGACTCATTTCTGGCGGAGTTTGGCGGGGAGAGAAAGAAAGACTTCTGCGGCTTCTGCTGCTTTCCTTGCATGAAGCCAAAAGTCTCTCTCTCTCCCTCTGAGAACGGAGCTGGAGACGATCCCAAATTAAGAACGGTCGATTGGTCGGTCGGAAAACGGGATGGGGAATTGCAGTCTTTTTTTCCCAGGGCCTGTGGTTTGCGGGATATAAAACGATGAGCTTGGTGGTCCCTGAGGTCCAAAAGGTTGGCGACCCCTGTTACAAACCCCTGTTTTTAGAGGCAAAAATGGAAGATTGGATGCTTAAAGTCCGTATCAAACCCTTTTGCAGAAATGAATGATCACGCAGGCAGCTGCTCCAGGCACTTCGCTGTTGGGGGACTCTTGTTATATCTACAGAAAATGAGATCTATGTATTTTTAAAAGGACAGGAAACGATTCAAGACGAGAGCAAGGCCTTCGGGGCAACTCTGCTCCACACTGAAAAGTGACGTAAAGAGTTGATACAACCGGCTCACTTTTCTCCTGCTAGTGGTTGAGCACGTGGTGATCGGAGGCTTTTCTGAAGAGCCTGTGCAGAGTTCTTGCTTTCAAAACCGTTGAACAAGAATTTGGTGGCCTCTGCAGCTGTGCTACTCGGGAAGTCAATATTAGAGTTAGAATAACAGAATTGGAAGGGACCCTGGAGGTCTTCTAGTCCAGCCCGCTGCTTAGGCAGGAAAACCTCTCCCGTTTCAGACAAGCGGTTCTCCAATCTCTTTTCCTAAAAAAACTCCAGTGATATAGAGGGAAAGGGAGGGAGGGAAGGAAGGAAGGAAGGAAAGAGGGAGGGAGGGAGGGGAGGAAGGAAAAATAGCCGAAGGACAGAGTTGAAAGGGACCTTGAAGATCTTCTAGTCCAGCCCGCTGCTTAGGCAAGAAACCCTGTCCTGTTTCAGACAAGCGGTTCTCCAATCTCTTTTCCTAAAAACCTCCAGTGATGTAGAGGGAAGGGAAGGAGGGAGGGAAGGAAGGAAGGAAGGAAAGAGGGAGGGAGGGAGGGGAGGAAGGAAAAATAGCCAAATGACAAGAGTTGGAAGGGACCTTGGAGATCTTCTAGTCCAGCCCGCTGCTTAGGCAGGAAACCCTGTTCTGTTTCGGACAAGTGGTTGTCCAATTTCTTCTCAAAAGCTTCCAGTGTTGGTGTATTCACAACTTCTGGTGGCAAGTTGTTCCACTGATTAATTGTTCTCACTGTCAGGAAATTCCTCCTTAGTTCCTAGGTTGCTTCGCTCCTGGATTAGCCAAAATGGGCATTCATCACCCGAGCGGCCGATTGCAGAGTAATCATACAGCTCCTCCTCATCTTAGCAGCCGTTCGTTTAGTGACCACTTGAAGTTACGATGGCACCGGGGGAAAAAAGCTGCAACCCTTGCAGCATCCCTGTGCCCACTACTGACTCACACTTAACGACGTTTGCGGTGCCCCAGGGTGATGTGACCTTCTGAAAAGCAAAATCGGCTTTTACTGATGTCTTTGCTGGGGTCCAAAAAAAAAAAATCACTTGTCTTGCTTAGCAACAGAAATTTTGGGCTCAGCTGTGGCCATAAGCCAAGGACTTTCAAGTCCCAAAAAATAACGTTTGGTATTCATGTACAGGTAATCCTTGAGTTACGACCACAGTTAACTCCAAAATTTACGTTGCTAACGGAAGGGGCAAAGTGACGCTTGTTAATTTTTGCTCCATTTTATGACTTTTCCTTGCCACCGTTGTTAAGCAAATCATTGCATTAGTTAAGTGAGTAACCTGGTTGTTAAGTGGATCTGGATTCCCTGTGGACTTTGCTTGTCGGAAGGTCGCAAAGGGGGATCACGTGTCCTCCAGGACACAGCGACCGTCATAAATGCGAACCAATTGCCAAGCAATCCTCTGAATTTTGATCACGTGACCATTGGGGATGTTGCAGCAGTCATAAGTGTGGGAAAACGGCCTTGAGTCGCTTTTTACGGTGCCGTCATAACTTTGGCCACTAAGTGAACTATTGTAAGTTGAGGACTCCCTGCATTAGATAATGTTTGTTGCCTTGAGTTACCTATAAAGCAATCAAAGCAGGATAAAAAAAATAATCTAAGAAATAAAATAATAAACAGCCTTTGTGACTTTGAACGGTCACTAAACAAACTGTTGTAAGTCGAGGAATGCCTGCATAGCAGGAACCGCGCATTAAAACCTAAATCAATATTTAACATTTATTTCAAGTTTTTCATTGGGCCTTTCCTTCCAAGTAGCTTGAAACAAGCGTTCCCGTTACCGTCCTCAGGACGCTGCAGCTGTGAAAAACGGTCATAAAGTCACTTTTTCCCGGAACTGTCGTCACTCGGAATGGTCACTAAACGAACAGTTGTAAGTCAGGGACTTTTTTTTTTTTTTTAATTTGCAGTGCAAATTTTGTGGCTTGCAACGTGGCCCCAAAGCAGTGAAAAATACACGTTTAAATTTGAATTGTTATCTTTTTTTGCAAACCTTGTCCCACCTTGGGCAATTCCAGGCCTGCTCCGGACTGATAAGGGCTTTTCTCTCTCTCTCTCTCTCTCTCTCTCTCTCTGCCTGTCTCTCTCTTCATGCACCCAAGTTGGGAGAGGCTGTTGCAAAGTCCAAGCAGCAGGATTTGAATTCCCCACCCCAACCCCATCCTGCCACAAACGAAGGCTCCGCTTTCGTTCCCGCCTACAGGTCCTCCTCGACTTACAAACAGTTCACTCAATGACCACAGCACTGAAAAAAAGGGACTCGCCCTTTTTCACATTTACACACCGCTGTGTATTCTGCAATGTAAAATATGGCAGAATATATACAGCCTCCTGTTATGTAGCTCAGCTCCATTTCATTCTGAATTAAACTAAAAAATTTTCATCCATTATTCCAAGGAATTATTCCAAGGAATAATGGATGGAAACTGAACAAGGAGAGATTCAGCCTGGAAATAAGGAGAAACTTTCTGACAGAACAATCAACCCTTGGAACAGAAGTTGCCCTCGGAAGTTGTGGGAGCTTCATCACTTGAGACTTTCAAGAAGAGATTGGACTGCCATTTGTCAGAAATGGTGTAGGGTCTCCCGCTTGGGCAGGGGGTTGGACTAGATGACCTACAAGGTCCCTTCCAACTCTGATTATCTGTTAATCTGTTAACTGTTAAATTCTCGATAAATCTTTAAACAGAAAACTATCTTTAGGTAGATTTTTTTTACTTCCAAGAAGCATTTTGTTAAAATGAATTTGATTTTTAAAAATCCGATTTACATTTAAAAACACTGATTTTTTAAAAATCGATTTTTATCCATCCTGGGAAAAAAGTGACTTATGGCCATTTTTCACACTGCAGCATCCCCAGGGTCACATGATCAAAATTCGGACGCTTGGCAAGCTTGACTTACACGTCGCTTTTTTCTTTTTAATATCTTGTTTGCTGTGGGTTTTTTAAAATTCTTTTTGTTGTTTTTTTAAAAACATACTTTTTAGCAGACTGTATTTTAACTTCGAATAAACTAAAATAATATACCAAAATGAAGAATGAGTGTAGGTCATCTTTGATTTACGACAGTAATTGAGCCGGGAATTATAAATAGTCCTTGACTTACAACAGTTCACTTAGTGACCATTCGAAGTTACAACAGTCGAAATTATAACGGCACTAAAAAAAAAAAGGTCTTCGGACCCTCCCTTAAAAGATAAAAGCCAGCTAAGAAACCGGAGTTCTTTGCAGGAAGCAAAGACGTTTTTGCACTCAAGCCTTGTGGATGTTTGGATTCTCTTGGTTGGTGTTTGGAGACTCTTTGTGTTTGAACTATTTCTGGGCAATTTTATTTAGTGTTCTTGGCAGCCTTGCACCGCCTTGTTCTTATCAGAGACAATTAGTTTGAAACAGCCTTTGAACCGTGAAGGAACAGAATTCGCAGAGAAGCATTAAAAGGTTTTGATGTTACCTCTGTTTGGTGTTGGTTTCCATGGAACAAGGTTTGGGTCAGGATACCATGTGACTTACATTTGGATGCTTGACAGCTGACTCACCTTTATGACGGTTGCAGAATCCCTTGGTCGTATGATCCCCTTTTTGCCACCTTCTGACAAGCAGAGTCAACAGGGAGGCCAGATTCACTTAATAACCGCAGAGACTTGTTTAACAACCGTGTGGCATGGGAGGTGATAAAACGGGGGGAAATTCACTTAACAAACTTCTCTAGCGACAGAAATTTGGGGCTCCGTTTTGGTCGTAAGTCAAGGACTACCTGTAGAGTGGCTAGGGTAGTCAGTGTTTCATCTACAGGTAGTTCTTGGCTTAGAACCATTCGCTTCCTATCCAGAGTTATAATGGCACTAACAAAAGTTTTTCACACTTAACGACCGTTGCAGTCAGGTCATCAGAATTCAGCTGCTTGGCAACTGGCTCATATTTACAACAGTCGCAGTGTCCCAGGGTCAAGCAAAATCAGTGGGGGGGGGGGGGGGGGGGAAGTCCAGTTCACTTAACAACCACATGACTAACTTCACAATGGCAAAAGCAAGGTCATAAAATGGGGCGAACCTGACTTAACTGTCAGAATCAGAACACAGCCAGAAAGGGACCGTGGAGGTCTTCCAGCCCAACCCCCTGCTCACGCCGGAGACCCTCTCCCATTTCAGACAAGTGGCTGCCCCAGTCTGTTTTTTTTAAAAAGCCTCCAGTGACGAAGCGTCCACAACTTCTGAAGTCAAGCGGTTCCACTGGTGAATTGCCTTGCTTAGCAACGAAAGTTTTGGGTTTCATTGTGGCCATAAGTCAGTAAGTGCAGCGGCCTAGAGGCTCAGCTCTGGCCTCACAATCAGGAGGCTGTGTGTTCGATCCTGGGTAGAGGCAGATATTTATCTCTCTGGGCACAATGAGAATATATCTGCTGGGGAGGGAAAAACTCCACCCTGGTGACAGGAAGGGCATCCGGCCAGTAAGAACTCAGCTCCATTCAGTTGCTCAGACTCCACCCTGAAAGGGATTATGGGGTCAATAAAAGATGATTGATGATGATGATTGTGGCCATAAGTCAATGACTACTGTACTATTATTATTTCTGAAGTTTGCATGCTATTCAATTTGGAGTGGTAAATAAAATAAATAAAAACTGTCCAGATGGCAGATCCCAGAAGAGGGAACCTGCATGGTTTAATCAAAGGAACCTCCTGGGCCAAATCTTCAGGATCAAATTACCTGGACAGGTGTTATCAAAGACCCTCCCAAGTAACCAGGCCCCCATGCCGCAGAGGGTAGCAACCAGCACCTTGAATGCGCGCCCAGAAGCAAACGGGCAACCCAAAAGGATAGGTGAAATATAACACAGGTAGCCCTTAACAACAAACTGTTCCAAGTTACAACGGCCCTGAAAAAAGTGACTTTAACGACTGTCGCACAACCGTAGGCGGCATCCCCCCGGGGGCGTGATCCAATTTTAAAACGCTTGGCAACTGTCGTGTACTTAACGACGGTTGCAAAATCCGCGATCCCCTTGGGCGACCGTCCGACAAAGCGAAGCCAATGGGGGAAGCCGCTTAACAACAGCCGTGTAACTCGCTTAACAAACTGCAGGGATCGGCTTCACAACTGGGGCCAGGAAGGTCGTAAAACCCGTGCTGCCATAACTCTGAACGAGCTATTGTAAGCTGTGAAACACACGTGCATGTGCACACACACACACACACACTAATAGCTCTGTCAAAGATCCGTCGCTCCGAAGGGTTTTGTGAGGTTGGTCATCACAGCTTCTCCTCCACTTCCTTCCTTCCTTCCTTCCTTCCCTGCAGCACTGACCATTCATGGAGGAACATACGGTCACCCAGACGGAGCACATGGCAACCATAGAGGCCCACGCGGTGGCCCAGCAAGTCCAGCAGGTCCACGTGGCCACGTACACGGAGCACAGCATGCTGAGTGCTGACGAGGACTCCCCGTCTTCGCCCGAGGACACGTCCTACGACGACTCGGACATCCTCAACTCCACAGCCACCGACGAAGTGACTGCCCACCTGGCCGCTGCAGGTAAGTTGGCTCTGCTGGCTTCTGGCTACCTTCTTTTGAGACATGCCTGCGGGGGAACAGGTGGAGGCACCTAGCTTCCTTTCCCAGCCTTTCTTGGCAACGCTCTTTGGCTTGGCTTGTAGTTGACCACCAAAAATCAGTTGACCATGCCTTCAGGATGTTTTTTTTTAAAGCATCCTGCTGTCTGACATCTTATTCAACCAGGGCCTGTGCGTTTGTCTGGCCAAGTGCCTGAAAATTAGAAACATAGAAAACTGACAGAAGAAAAAGACCTAGAGATTTATCAAGGCATTTATCAACAATTTTGTTGTTTTGTTGTTTTCTTTATCTATTTATCTATTATCTATCTATCATCTATCTTTCATTATCTTCTATTTCATTATCATCTATGTCTATCAGTATATTATTATCTACTATCTATCATCTATCTTTCATTAGCTATCATCTATTTTCTCTTATTATATCTATTATGTATCAATCTATCACTTATTTTTCACCTACTATCAATATCTATCATCATCTATCCTTTTTGTTATCATATCTGTATCATCTGTCTATCAATCTATCGTTATCCATCCATATCTATTGATCTATCATCTATATTCTATCATTGCCTATCTATCTTCTATTTCATTATCATCTGTGTCTATCTATCAAACTATTATCTGTATTTCTATCTTCTATCTTTCATTAGCTATCATCTATCTTCTCTTTCATTATCTATCATCTATGTATCAATCTATAATTATCGGTCTTTCACCTACAATCTATATCATCTATTTTCTATCTTTCATTATCATCTCTCTTTTTGTTACGTATCATATCAGTCTATTATCATCTATATATCTGCCTGTCAATCTATCATTATCCATCCATATCTATCGCTCTATCATCTATCTACCGTGTTTCTCATATAATAAGGCCGGGTCTTATTTTTTTTTTTTTGAGCCCCGAAAAAATGGCTAGGCCGTCTTTTCAGGGGTGACTTAATTTCCCCCACCCCCTTGAATCTTTGGGTGGGCGGGTGGCAACGGCTTGGATGTTGACCTCGGCGTTGGTGGGGCACTTCGTATCAGGGTCAACGCAGGCAGCACCATATCCGGGGGTGCAACAAAAGTACTTCCTAATGGCAAGCCCCCCCACCATTCCCCCCCATTTCGCATGTTTTAATATAGGCCTTAATTTGTGGGGAGGGGCTTAATTTCATTTCATGCCTATAAAACATGCTGGGACTTCCTGTTGGGGGAGGCCATATTGTTGGAGAAACGGTATATTCTAACTTTCATTATCTATCATCTATGTCTGTCTATCGATCATTATCTGTCTACTATTTACTTTCATTAGCTATCATCTATCTTCCCTTTCATTAGCTATCATCTATGTCTCTATCAATCTATCATTTTATCTACTATCTATATCTATTTATCTTCTATCTTTCATTTTCATCTATCTTTTTTGTTATCTATCATATCTATCAATCCATCGTTATCCATATCTATCTATTTATCAATCTATCATCTATATTCTATCTTTCATTATCTATCTTCTATGTCTGTATCAATCTATTTATCTCTTTCATTAGCTATCATCTATCTTCTCTTTCATTATCTATTATCTATGTCTATGTGTATCTATATCATTATATCATCTATATCTATCTTTTTCATTATCATATTATCTCTCTATCATCTATCAATCTATCATCCATCCCTATCTATCTATCTATCTATCTATCTACACTATCTATCATCTATCTATCTATCTACCTGTCTACCTATCCACCTACGTACCTACTCATCTATCTATCTGTCTGTCTATCTATCTATCTATCTATCTATCTATCTATCTATCTATCTATCTATCATATTATCTATCCTATCTCTCTCTCTCTCTCTCTCTCTCTCATATATTATCTATCCTATATCTATTTTTATTGTTAAGGGAAACATTTTGTCAAGTGAATTTTGCCCCATTTTACAAGTTTTCCTGCCTCCGTTGCTAAGTCAACCTGTCTTCCCCACTGACTCTGCTCGTCAGAAGGTCGGAAAGGAGGATCATGTGACCTCCGGGACACCATAACCGTCATAAATATGAGTCAGTGGCCAAGCATCTGAATTCTGATCATGTGACCACAGGGAGGCTGCAACGGTCATAAGGGTGAAAAGCGCTCAAAGGTCACTTGTTTTTCAGTGCCCTTATAGCCTCAAATGGCCACTAAATGAACTACTGCGAGTCGAGGACTTCCCTGTAAAGGGATATTCTAGGAAGGAGAGGCGCCCTTGCTTTCTTATCCTTTCTGTGGTTGGTTGTGTGTGCGATTGCGATGTTCCCATCTGACATTCCCATTCTCCCAGTAAGAAAACATGCTGTTAAAAATCAGTATTTTGCTGTTGAATTTAACCTCTTAAGCAGTCTGGAAATGGCTGGAATTTCCAGTCTGGAAATGGCCTTTCTTGGTATCTTCAATTTCCTGTGTTCATTTTACAAAGGACATTTTTATTTTTATTTTTTATTTTGGGTCTTGGAGTTTTTCAGGATATTTTGTAGAAACCAGAACCCTTAACGATGAATCCGTAGCCTGCAGAGGGCAGCAGAACAGTAATAATGGATCTCTTTGGTTTAGTTTTCCAGTTAGGTAGCCTTTATTTTCCATTTTAAAATAGCCTGGGTTCATTCATTGATTCCTCTACAGGCAGTCCCTGACTTAGAGCCGTTCGTTTAGTGACCGTTCAAAATGATAGCGGCACTGAAAAAAGGGACTGAAGACCCCTTTTCACACGACTTTCATAGCGGACTCACAATCATGTGATTCAAAATTCAGACACTTGGCAACTGGCTCATACTTACGACCGTTGCTGTCCCAAGGTCACATGATCCCTTCTTGCGACCTTTGGACGAGCAATGGGGAAGCCAGGTTCACTTAACAACCTGGTCAGTAACTTGAACAACTCCACTGATCTACTTAACAGCTGTGGTCAGAAAGCTCGTAAAACGGGGCAAAACCCCCTTCAAACCTGTCTTTGCCTTATGATCCCGATTGAGGCCAAAGTTTCTGTCGCTAAATGAGACAGCCGTTCAGTGAATTTTGACCTACTTTGCCACGTTTCTTGCCAGAGTTGTTAAATGAATCATTGCATTTGTTAAGTCAGGAACACAGTTGTTAAGTGAACCTGGCTTCCCCGTTGATTTTGCTCGTCATAAATGCGAGTCGGTTGCCAAGCGGGGAGGCTGCAACAGTCATGTGAAAAACGATCATGTCACTTTTTTTTTTTTACAGTGCCGTTGTAACTTAGAATGGTCACTCAATGAACCGTTGCAAGTCGAGAACTGCCTGTCCTTTGTTCGGAAGGCAGCTGCCAGAATTCCCAGCCAGCTTGCCCCTTTTCTGAGGAACCATCAGCCCCCACCTTTGCGACTGGGAATGATGGGAGCTGCGACCCACCGCATCTGAATTGAGCAGAGATCTCCAATGTCCCTGGCTTTTCTCTTTTGGGTCTTTCAGATCTCTCTTTTCTTCTCAGGGCCGGTGGGAATGGCCGCCGCCGCTGCCGTGGCCACCGGTAAAAAAAGGAAGCGCCCTCACGTCTTTGAGTCCAACCCATCCATCCGCAAGAGGCAGCAGACGCGGTTGTTACGGTAAGAGCTCTTGCCCCACCAATCTCTGGCCACCAGCGCATCCCAGGATTCCCAGCTGGGCCGGCGGGGTGGGGGCAGCACAGGGCCTTCCGGTTGGGCCTCCAAAAACAGACGCTTGCAAGTCTGGAGGTGATTCCCTCTCTTTCACACTATCTTATCTATCTGTTCATCCATCCATTCATCTACCCACCCACTTACTCTCTCTCTTTATCCTTATCCACCCATCATCCAGCTAGTACATCTAACTGTCTCTCTGTCTGTCTGTCCGTCTCCATCCATCCATCCATCCATCAAATATCCACTCATCCATCCATTCACCCAGTCTATCTATCTGACTATCACAAGGGTCTTCCAACTTGGCCAATTTAAGACTTGTGGATTTCAATTCCCAGAATTCCTGAGCTAAGATGAGTGGAGGAGGAGGAATTCTGGGAGTTGAAGTCCACAAGTGTGAAAGCTGTCAAGTTTGGGAACCCCTGGTCTATCATATATCTGTCTATCTATTTACCTACCTACCTACCTACCTACCTACCTATTTACCCAGTCTAACTATTTGACTGTCTGTCTGTCTCTCTCCACCCATCCCCCAGTTTATCTATTTGAGTGTCTGTCTGTCTGTCTGTCTGCCTACCTACCTATTTATCATCTATCCACCCAGTCTGACTACTTGACCGACTGTCTGTCTGTCTGTCTGCCTCTCTCTCCACCCATCCCCTCAGTATACGTATTTGTCTGTCTGTCTGTATCGATCGATCAGTCGTTCTCACCGACTGTCCATATTTTTCTCTCCGGCTCTCTTTTCTGTCTCTGTTGTTACCCACATACCAAGCCACGTAGGGCATTGGAAGTAGCAACCCACCAACCTCTTGCGTTGCGGAAGGAAACTCATCCCCAGGTCCAGTTATTGCCATAAGGTGTGAAGTTGGAGAGGCCAAGAGGTCCCATCAAGCCTCCAATCCTCCCCTCCAACTTCATTCCAGAACCCTGTGAACCTTCCAGGTGGTCTTCCAGGGTGACCCCATGTAAGGCACATTGCGGCAGTCCAAAGCAGAGCTGGCCAAAGCAAGAGGGACGGACCGGGGCACCTACCCGTTTTTATCCTTTGGGTACCCTGAGGGGAGCTAAGTTACCTCCTGCTAAGCTACCAACACAAGCTTCCTTCTCACTGGGAACGGCCAGATGTGAGTCAATGCACAAGGCCAGGAGACAAGACGCGCATCTCTCGGAATGCGCTTCGAGTTGAACGCTCGTCGGGAGCAACTTTTCTGCTTCTCTTTCCTCCAGGGCTTCTCTGATGCAACCTTCCGCTTTATTTTTCCCCGGCCTGCTGTTGCAACGCCTGGCCCAGTCTTGCTCGGTATCGACGGGGCAACCAACCCCTTGGTGCTTTGGCAGAGTTGGTCGCCCTAGCGACGGGTCCCCGCGGTGGGCTTGGGAGGTTGGCACTGGCAAGTCCTCCGGTGTGGACCAGATGCCAGCGAGAGCGTCAGGGTTGCTGGACTACGGAAAATAGAATAGAGATAAACGTTGGAGTTCAGGGATGGATGTGTTTGTTGTTCGTATCTTTACCGAAGGAAGTTGGTCCTGTTTATGTTTGTCTTTCTTTTTTTTTCCCCTTCTTTCATTCTTATACTTTTTTTTCCTTCCCTGAGCTTTTTATTTTTTTCAAATCTTTTTTGTTTATCTTTTTAACTTTGAAAAGAAAGTTTTCCCCCTCTCTCTGACTTTCTATATCTGTACATTTGTTTATCTACATACCGACAGACACAGACAGAAAGACAGACACAGAAATAGATAGATAGATAGATAGATAGATAGATAGAGATACAGTGAAAGAAAGAAAGAAAGAAGAAAGAAAGAAAGAAAGAAAGAAAGAAAGAAAGAAAGAAAGAAAGAAAGAAAGAAAAGATACAGATAGATAGATAGATGATAGATAGATAGATAGATAGATAGATAGATAGATAGATAGATAGATAGATAGATATAAAAATAGAGACAGACAGATGATAGGTAGGTAGGTAGGTAGGTAGATAGATAGAGATAGATACAGTGAAAGAAAGATAGATAGATAGATGATAGATAGATAGATAGATAGATAGATAGATAGATAGATAGATGATAGAGATAAAAATAGAGACAGACAGATGATAGGTAGGTAGGTAGGTAGGTAGGTAGATAGATAGATAGATAGATAGATAGATAGATAGATACAGATAGATAGATAGATAGATAGATACAGATAGATAGATACAGATAGATAGATGATAGAGATAAAAATAGATAGAGACAGACAGATGATAGGTAGGTAGGTAGGTAGGTAGGTAGATAGATAGATAGATAGATAGATAGATAGATAGATAGATAGAAGTTTATCTTGTCTGTCTGTCTGTCTCTTGTATCTTCTATCATCTATCAGTCATCTCCATCCATCCATCTGTATCTTCTATTATCTCCATCCATCTATCTATCTTCTATCAATTGATCATCTATCAATCATATCCATCCATCCATCTATCTTTATCTGTCTATCATCGTATCAATCATCATCCATCCATCTATCTTCAAGGTGTTTAAAAAAAAGTTCCCTCTCCATTTGTTCTTAGGTCCTCCATCCTAGCTACCTTAAATGTGCATGTTTCACTTGAATTCATGCTTCTACAGGTAGTCCTCGTTTAGCAACTGCCTGGTTTAGCGGCCGTAGTTAACAGCAGTGATGACACAAAGTAACTTTGCAACCAGTCTGCACATTTGCAACCGAAGTGAGATCCTTTAAAAATAGCCGCCCTTGAAAACTGAATTTAACCAAGGTTTGGTGATATTACAGAATAGAATAAGCGTGTTGGAAGGGACCTTGGAGGTCTTCTAGTCTGACCCCTTGCTCAAGCAAGAGACCTCATAATGAGGTTGGTCCAACCTCGGCCACCCATCTTAAAGCAGGCTGGCTGGGGAATTCTGGGAGTTGAAGTCCACAGATCTTAAAGTCGCCAAGGTTTGGCTATCCCTGGTCTTCACCAACCTTTAAGACGCGGAGACTTCAACCCCCAGAATCCACCCATCTTAAAGCAGGAAGGCTGGGGAATTCTGGGAGTCGAAGTCCACAAGACTTAAGAGTGGCCAGGATTGGACACGCCTTGTCCAACACGCTTCCGGACAAACGGCTGTGCAATCTCTTCTTCAAAAACCCGCAGCGGTGTTTCAGAACGACACGAGCAGCTCTCGACGTACGACTGGCTGCTCAGCGATTGTTCAAAGTTACAACGGGGTCTCTCCAGAGCTGCTTGCCAGAGCTGATTTTGAAGATCTTTTATTGGGCGCTTAGCAGCTGGCGCCGTTCCCCGTGTGCTTCTCACCGTCTCTCTGCCCAGGTGCTCCTCAGAGGCGCGGCTGGCACCTGAGGATGCCTTGTTTTGTGGAGGCAGGAGGTGCGTTTTATCCCGATAACAATCAACAAGCTTTAGTGCTACAATTCGAAATGTCCCTCGATTGTCCCCTGCCAGCCCCTCCCGTAGTTCCTTTACGGAATTGAGCCCCAATTTTTGCGTCGCTAAGTGAGACAGTGGTGAGTTTGGCCCTGTTTTACGACTCTTCTTGCCTCTGCCGTTGTTAAGTGAATCGGGTTTCCCCATAGGCTTTGCTTGTCAGAAGGCCGCAAAAGGCAGTGACAGGCCTCCTGAACGCTTATCGATTGACCCAAAGTTGGTTGGTACTTCTCTTAGAATAACAGAGTTGGAAGGCACCTTGGAGGTCTTCTAGTCCAACCCCTTGCTTAGGCAGGAAACCCTGCAGCTGTCATAAATGTGAGTCAGTTGTCAAGCGTCCGGATTACCATGGGGATGCTACAAGAGTTGTAAGTGTGGACAACGGTCATAAATCACTTTGTCCAGTGATGTTGTAACTTTGAACGGTCACTAAATGAACCGCTGTAAGTTCAGTACTATCTGTATATCCTTCTCTTATTTTTCACCCAACAACCCTGTGAGGTGGGTTAGGCTAAGAAAGAGTGATTGGCGCAACATCACCCAGCCAGCTTTCATGCCTAAGGCGGGACTAGAACTCACTGTCTCCTGGTGATTGGCCCAAAGTCACCCAGCTGGCTTTAATACTTAAGGCGGGACTAGAATTGAATGTCTCCTGGTGATTGGCCCAAAGTTACCCAGCTGGCTTGAATACTTAAGGCGGGACTAGAACTCACCGTCTCCTGGTGATTGGCCCAAAGTCACCCAGCTGGCTTCAATACTTAAGGCGGGACTAGAACTCCCCATCTCCACCCACCCCCCCACTGTATTTTGCTTTTTAATTCATTTAATCTCAACTTATTTTCATACTCAAGACGTCTACACTGTGCACACGCTTTTACCTCATCCTGCCTTTTAGCATTTCCAATTCTTCTAGCTTTAATTGTAGTACTCTTTCTTTCTTTTTTACTCTTTATCATGTTGTAAGCGGCCGAGGGCCCCCTGACGAGTGAGGCGGGTGGCGTATCAGCTGAATCAATAAATATACGAAATTTCTCCATCCCTTTTTACCATTTGGCCGGAACGGGGAGGCCTTCATCGCCATCGGCAAAACCTGACAGGGTGGGAAAGTTTAAAGCCAAAGGCCTTGAGGGCTTGGGGGGAAATGATAGGGTGGATCTGTCTTTCCTGGACGGTGGGGGAAAAATATCTTTTAAAGCCACTTCTCCTTCCTTTTCTCGTCCTTTCCGACCCAGGAAGCTGCGGGCCACCCTGGATGAATACACCACGCGGGTCGGGCAACAAGCCATCGTCCTCTGCATCTCCCCTTCCAAACCCAACCCGGTTTTCAAAGTCTTTGGGGCGGCACCCCTGGAGAACGTGGTAAGATTTGCTCCTTCCGCGGCCCTCCCAGCTTGGGAGCCTGGAAGTGGAATTGCACGGTAGGGGAGAGAGAACGGAAAAGTTTAGGCATCGCCGGAAGAAGATGGCGAAGGAGGAGATGCGAAGGCGCATTGTACGTTAGCCAGGAAGGTCTTTGCTTCTGACTCCCCAAATAACCGGGTAGTTATTTTATTGTTACTCACAGGTGGAAAATGAGAGACAAGAAAGCAGCCAGGATCTGTTCTACACGTTTACAACTGTGGGGGGCCCTTGGTGCTCTCTCTTGAGTTTGGTGGTTTTCTTGCAGACATTTCATTAACCCATCTAGGTAACATCCTCCGTGTTAGAAGGGAGTGGAGTTTGGAGAGGAGGAAGAGGAGGACTGTGGCATTCCCTGTGCTTGGCTCTTGTGCAGACATTTCACTACCCAAATAGGTAACGCTATCAGGGCGAGAGGGGAGGGGGAGTTTGCTCTGTTTATGTACAAGTGGTTTGCTTGTCAGTGTGGGTGGGAGTGTTTTCTTCTTGAGGGCCCTAAAACAGTAGACAGTGCCTGGAAGCCCGGCATTCAAAAAACAAATCGGCCATCAACAGGCACATAGATGTAAACAACGTCTACCCACCATTTGAAAAGGACGAGTTAAAATGCTCCCGTTAAGGAACTAACAACTCAGACAGTTCAAACAGTGAGCAACAGACTAATTAAGAAACACCCCAGAATACTCCCACCAACACTGATAGGGTGAACGACTTGTATATAAAAGGAGACCAAACCTCCCTGCCTCCCTCCTAGCATTGATCGTGTTGTCTAGTTGGGTCATGAAATGTCTGCAAGAAGACAACCAAGCTCAGGGAGCACCAATGACAGAATGACAGTTGTCATTCTCCTCCTCCTCTCCCTCCTCTTCCTCCTCCTCCCCCTCCTCCTCCCCCCCCCCCTCCTCCTCCTCTCTGCAACCTCCCTTCCGGCACTGATGATGTCCCTTAGTTGGGTCATGAAAACGTCTGCAAGGACCCTCAGAGCACCAAGCCCCCATAATCCCATCTTCTCCTTTTCTTCTTCCTCCTCCTCCTCCTCCTCCACCACCACTACACAAACCCCACTCGCTCCCTTCCGGCCCCGATGATGTTCCCTAGCTGGGTCACAAAACGTCCCCGAGAAAACCTCCCGGCTCAAGAGACCCAACGAGGACCCCACCGGTCAACCCCGAGCTACAAAACTCTTTTCTGCTTGATCCACAATCCCCAAAAGTGCCGCCCCTCCATCCAACCTCCCCAAGAGGGGGGACTTGAAAGCCTCGACAGCCTGGCTGGGAACCTCACCAAGCACCCCCACCCCAGCTAAAGCCCCTACCTTACACCTCGCAACCCTCTCCAGCAACCCCCCCCCCGCACCTTAACCCTCCGGCGTTGCTCGCCGTTTCATCATCTCGTCTTCGCGCCTCCCCTCCTTTGGGGGCCAAGGGCTGTTTTTTCCCCCCCGGGGGCAGCTGCGGGCGTTGTTTGCTGTCTCAGCTGCGCAGCCACCCGGAGCAACTCCGATGCCTTCCTCTTCCCCCCC